TAAGTGGCAGGGCTGAAATAAACACTTTATTGGTTTTGCTTTATTGTAGAAAAATATAGTTTCACAGGTACTGAATTCAATTGAGAGTATATTGTACCTTCTCTGCTTAGTGAAATGTCTTAGTACACTTGTATGGGATTGCACTTAAGTGAGATGTTCACTGGGTAACAGGTATTATGATAATCTCTCTCTCTCTCACACCAGGGAGAGAGGATGGTCAAGCAGGCCTCGAAGAAAACGCGCCAGGTATGTTGGTGCTGAGAGGCGCTGACCCAGCTTGACCTCGCTCTCTCCCCAGAGGAAATGTCAACTCACCAATTCATGTGTACACATCGGTGAATGATCTGGTGAATATTTTGGTAATATACATTTGGGTAAATATTCATGTAATACAAATGGTGCTGTTACACTACAAGCAGCCATCTGGAGAAGTTCTCTTGATGCTGATTCTCCTAATCTCAATCCCATCTATTATGGATGATCAATGGATGTCTCAGCAAAGATGGTGCCAGTTGCTATGCCACCAGATGTGTCATTAGCTTCTATAGATGTTCTAAAGATGATTAAATGTGCATGTTTATCATCAGTCCCTTGTTCAACTGCCCGTTGTTGTACCTCAGTACAGCTTTCATGTTCTGCCCTCTGTACCTGCCGCAGTCATGAAGAATGTAAGGACCAGCGTACCATCACTGTTGTTTCAGTGGAGGACAATAGTGAAGGCCAAGATGAGTGAGTCATGTAAATTTTTTCTGGAACATTTTACATTGGGATTATACATTGATATCAGAAGCAATAGTTCATCAAAATTAATAAAAATTGTTCATAGAAAAACTAATAGGAATATGGTGAATTGTACATTTTACAAAGCTTTATGCTGTTTAGATAATGAGAATTATTAATTCCTTTAAATTGATTCATTTCTTTGAATTCCATAAGGAAACATGGATTTTGCCACCGAATTCAACTCTCTGTGTAAATTAAAAGCCGAGATAAGGCCAGAATCAGTGCTGGTGAATTTTGGCAGTCATTTTGAATATTTTAAATATAATTAATAAACTTGGCTCTTTAGGTATATCTGGTCAATTGTATTCGCTTCCTCGATTAGAAGCTGAGAAATGGCCAAAATAAGTTTTGCGAGTAGGCGATGGCAGCCATTTTGAATTAGGTCAATAAAAAAATTTCCCCAAGGGTGGCAGCTTGGCACCCAGCTAATTTATGATTAGTAGGACCTAATCGATCAGAAACAACCATAAAACATTGTATATATCTCAAAACAGGGCTCACCCTATTTAGCCACTCTACCAACGGACTTCATCTTCTATCTTTTTCCCTCAGTTATTTCGAGTCGTTCTGTCCTGTATGTGATCTTGATATCCGAAATACATTAATTTCAACTTTTATATGATTCCATTTCACCCATCTCTTTCACACAAAATACTCATATTCTCAGTCCCTCATACTCTTTATATCATGTTCCAAGAGATACAGACTATATTCTTCTTCGCTTTCGTTCTTGCAGACTCAGGCAGCAGTTTGAATATGGGTTGCTTAATCATTGGATAAAGAATTTTCTACCAAACTCAACTGCCTGTGCGTTCGCTCCAACCATGATCACTATCACCTCATCAATCTCTCTTTCTAACATTCTGGTAAAGAGTCCTACATATGTACCATTAAATATTTTGTTTATAGTCTATATATGTATGTATGTATGTATGTATGTGTGTATGTATGTATGTATGTATGTATGTACTGTATGTATGTATGTATGTATTTATGTATGTATGTATCTTTGGATATATGTATGTATGTATGTACAAGTTATGTACTACTGCCTCACCACATAAATCAACTCTTGTACAGCCAGCAGCCAGGTCATCATACTTTACATTATCATCGGAACCCCTAAACCCCCAAATTCCAATGGCGACAGAAGAGAGGCGACGGAGATAGGTAGAGATGGGTGCTATTATAGCACACGGTCAACAAGATATTTAAGTTAGGTTAGGTTAGGTTAGGTTAGGTTAGGTTAGACTAAGATATATTTGTAAACTGCACGCTCTAGTAGCACCCGGGTGTCCCTATTCATAACTCTGCACCACATGGGCAGCCTAGATAAGATGGTTGTTTTTGCACTGTGATCCAGGCAGCAGTGCAATCAGGTTCAGTCTACGAGACTGAGCAACTCCTTTGTACAGCTGTTTTTATTTATCCTGCTGCTGTTACTCTTTAAATTCGTTAGTGTTCACGAGTGAACTACTTTTATACCTATTTATATATATATATATATATATATATATATATATATATATATATATATATATATATATATATATATATATATATATATATATATATATAACACATCATTACACTGAATAATATGGAACAACATTGAAGCATGTTATAAAAAATATAGAAAAATACTACACGGTCGAAACAATATACAGTATATATATTGATAAAAAATGAAAAGAAAAAAACGTGTTTTTTCAAATATTTATATATTTCATATATATATATATATATATATATATATATATATATATATATATATATATATATATATATATATATATATATATTAGTTCTTGATTTTATAAGTGGCAGGGCTGAAATAAACACTTTATTGGTTTTGCTTTATTGTAGAAAAATATAGTTTCACAGGTAATGAATTCAATTGAGAGTATATTGTACCTTCTCTGCTTAGGGAAATGTCTTAGTACACTTGTATGGGAGAGCACTTAAGTGAGATGTTCACTGGGTAACAGGTATTATGATAATCTCTCTCTCTCACACCAGGGAGAGAGGATGGTTAAGCAGGCCTCGAAGAAAACGCGTCAGGTATGTTGGTGCTGAGAGGCGCTGACCCAGCTTGACCTCGCTCTCTCCCCAGAGGAAATGTCAACTCACCAATTCATGTTTACACATCGGTGAATGACCTGGTGAATATTTTGGTAATATACATTTGGGTAAATATTCATGTAATACAAATGGTGCTGTTACACTACAAGCAGCCATCTGGAGAAGTTCTCTTGATGCTGATTCTCCTAATCTCAATCCCATCTATTATAATGGATGTCTCAGCAAAGATGGTGCCAGTTGCTATGCCACCAGATGTGTCATTAGCTTCTATAGATGTTCTAAAGATGATTAAATGTGCATGTTTATCATCAGTCCCTTGTTCAACTGCCCGTTGTTGTACCTCAGTACAGCTTTCATGTTCTGCCCTCTGTACCTGCCGCAGTCATGAAGAATGTAAGGACCAGCGTACCATCACTGTTGTTTCAGTGGAGGACAATAGTGAAGGCCAAGATGAGTGAGTCATGTAAATTTTTTCTGGAACATTTTACATTATATATATATATATATATATATATATATATATATATTTCATTAGCCCAATAAAGCACGCGGACTTCTACATACAATCAACACCTCAACCCGCCAGGATTCGAACCCACGGCCCACAAGCCTATGACTCTGACAGGGGAACGCTAACCGCTGGACCACCAGGATACTAAAAGCAGTCCTAGACTTTGTTATATTTCACACAAAGACTGTTCAACGAGCTTATGGCGCCGTGAACCTCTAATGTGGACTACCCGTATCACGTAGGTGGTCAGAGTAACGTTTTACCAAATCCGGCTTCGAAACACGAGGATCCATATACATTTCATTAGCCCAATAAAGCACGCAGACTTCTACATACAATCAACACCTCACCCCGCCATGCTTCGAACCCACGATGTTATAACTGTGACCGGGGAATGTTACCTCTGGGTCACCAGGACACTAAAAGCAGTCCTAGACTCTGTTATATTTCACACAAAGCCTGTGTGTAGGGGGGAGGGGGAAGGAGGGGTGCTTCAACGTCTATGGTCTTTAAGCACAAATCACTTAATCAGTTATTTAGGCTCAAATTCAGAACGCTGGTTTGAAACCGCATGAAGGCTAAAACAAAGGATTAAGCCAACACAAAGATTCAAACTAGGTTTGAGATCGGAATTATCGATCCTTGCGCTAAACCAGCCTAGAGACAGTTTAGCAGTCGATCCGTCATTCAAGATAGCAAGTCAACATGAACTTTGACAGAGCTCTCGTTTTTCGGAAATATCATCAAATTTAAAATTTTGTAGAGAGAAAACTGATGGTAAATGGGTAGAATCCTATTAATTGTTATGATGAAACGCTAATCGGACAACGATATAGGTTCAGTAAGGGAGATTTCCTTGATATTTTCCATGATATGGAGCAGTTACTTGACAAACCTGTTGCCTATGGATCACCTCTGCCTTTCATTCATCAACTGATCATTGCTTTGAGATTCTTTGCAACGAAGAGTTTCCAGGTAAGAAATATTCTGGTTAGTGAATGAGTTATTGTAATGTGTTATAACACTTTTGTGATTAGGGTCCATGGGGATCAAACGAGTAAATGTAAGGAACGTTGACGCTTCTTTATTTTGAGTCGTTTTCTTTAGGAAATCTATTTTGATGTATTTTCAATATAATTGAATCAATTCTGAATGCATTTCGATTTTAATGTTCAGGGAAAATATGGGGTTAAAAGAACTGAAAGAAACTTAAACTAACCGAGCTGAATCTAGCCAGGTTACTTCGACCTGCATTGATTCATTTTGCTTTGGTTATGAATATTGACACCTGTCCCGGATTACATGTATGTAATTGTATGTAATTTTTCTTCCTCTATGAATTTCTTTGTTATATATAACAACACAGTCAGGTCGTAATAGAGTACCATAAATCATTAAAATTGGATCATAATTTAATTGCAATTATAGTAACAAAAGTAACTGTTGATGTGGATGGAGAGATTTCTTCCCCTGCGTCAAAACTCGTCGAGTCATAGTTGCCTCCATAATCTTGTAAAGATTACTATCTACGGTGATTGGTTGTCAAATGGTGTAACTGAAACGTGATTAGTAAGATTGCTACTCAACATTTTTCTTCGAATAATGGATTTAATTGATAAACAAAACTATTTACATAAACACCCTGATCGACCTGTACCAATCCCCTCCCATTAGTGGATGAAGTATCAGCTTGACGAATAGCATTAAAGGTTACTTTGGCGTCAGCCAATCGGCAGCAAACTGAGATTGTAGCCGCTGCTTCGCGTGTTAGATAACCCGGGGTGATGTCTCCTGATGCACATCAGTCAAAATCTGCTCCTCTCTCTTTGAACAAGTCTCTCCTGGGTCTGCATCCCATCGTCTCTAATACCGGTAAGCCGAAACTTAAGTTAGTAATATGTGTTGGATGTGTTACTTTCAGTGTGATAACATACCAAAATGTTATTGTAATATAAAATTTCATATCAAAATGCACACCTAGTTTTTCGTTCTTATATATTACAACATTACACAATTTATTTTTATTAAATAATGTGTTGTATTTTTGACGTCTATTGAGTTTTACATTTCCAGAGCTAAGTCTCGTATATATATATATATATATATATATATATATATATATATATATATATATATATATATATATATATATATATATATATATATATATATATATATATATATATATATATATATATATATATTTGTTTGTTTTTTTGTTTTTTTTGTAACATTATTATTATTATTTTTTTCACGGAGAATAGCCCACCCGGGCACAGGTCATTGATCCACAACGGGGCTTTGGGGCCATCGGACATAAATTTTGTCTTATTATTTTCATATAAAAGACAAATGTAGATTAATCTGACTGTTCCTTCTCACTTCATCAGTGCGTCACATAAATTTTAATGGAAAGGCCTAACTTTTGTGAATATTTATCATAGTTTATATGTGAGATAATATAAATTGAATATCGTTTTACCGAAAAATGAGTAACTTTGTATCTTGTTCACTGCTGTGTTTTATCAGCTGACGGGTGGTTCAGCATCCTGCAAATAGGATGGGATAACCAACTAGCTAATGACTGCTTAGAATTAAGAGATGAGACTCTGTCATTTAAATCTGTCACCTGAGTTTCAAGACCGTATGAAATTATACTTACATCCACGCCAAGAGAAATTTAGCAAAAACACCACACAAAGAACCTCACTTATATACTGGATTAATGATAACATAGAATTACGGTGAAAATCATATCCGTTTACTAAATTGAATCATCCAGGTCACTCTGCTGACAGACATGTCGATTGATGTGTTCAACGTCGGGATGGGAGTTGGCCACAGCAAAACATCTTTTCACTCATATTTTTACCCAGGATTGCCATGGTACAACGACGACCAACAGCTATACAAGAACGGGCAAAGTTCGTGTGGATGTGGGTGGGAGGGATGTCTGCCCGCACTATTGCGCGAGAGACGGGTAGAAGTGTGACTACAGTGTGCAGGTGGATACAACGCTGGGGACGAGAGGGCCACGTGTACCGTCGAACTCAATGTGGCAGAACAGGAAAAGCCTATAAAATTCATTATTTTGATCAACAAGAAACTAATTTTCACTCTACCATGTAAGCCGATAATTTGTTGGCCTTCTCTTTCTATCACATTAGAGTAGGGCAGTCCCTAAAGCCTTTTATAACTTAGTAATGATTGATCAAAAATAAGTTGTACTTGATCTCGCAAACTTTAACTCACGGTCTGCCAGTGGCTATAAACGGATAAGTTTAGTTTTCTCTAAGTTTGATATACTATAATATTATCAAGTTTCACTTGTACAAGTGTTACCGCCTATAAAAATTATGAAAATTAAAGACGTTGCAACTTTACTGATAATTCTTTCCCTGCTATATGAAGACTCTTAGTACTTTAAAAATTAGTGTATGGCATGAAATGCTATTTGCGTTAATTAATATACGGTATAAAATATAGCTTTTCAAATATATTTCAGGTTCTTTAACAGTTAAAGTCCTTAAGCACAGAGTACAAGGTCATATGCGATATTAGACAACTATTACAGAGAAATTACTAAAAATACAATTACTTCATTCTAAGCACAACATGTGCTGTACTCGGTCAGTGATCAACTCATCACATCTAAAATGTCCATTATTTAAAATATCAGTTTTATCACAGGATAGCTCTACTTAACACCATGTTTTATGTCAAAGTTTTGAAGAACAATGTCCCCAAACTAAAGCTCAAACTGAGTTCATGTTCTATCTAAGTAATCCCGACTATCTCGCTAGCCTTCCACAAAAGACTCTCTTTGGGGCGTGGCTTCATAAAAGTGTTGCAGATCTCTTGAAACTGGATGTCCCAATCACCCCAGACGAACCCATTAATGCCATTCCTCCTTGGCTGGATATATCAGTTCCTATTAATTACACTCCTGCTAGCGGTAAGCAAATGTTTAACACCGATGTGGTGAGATGTATAACACTATAAACTATTAACAGACACATAGAGAGTATTAAATCAAGTTAATTTTATGCTTTTACTGATGGTTCTGTGCAGACAAACACAGGCTGGACAATGGTAATATATAAAGAAAAAGAGATGGTAGTGTCAAACAAGCAAAAGCTGAAAAACTGGGCCAGCACAACACAAACTGAACTAACTGGAATCTACTTAAGCTACAGACTACCTTAAAGAAAATGGAGGTGGAGTGATATTTTGTGACTCTCAAAGTGCTTTGAAATCAATGAACAGCCCGTCAGGTTCTATGTCTGAAGTTGTATGTGATATTAAAAGAAATGTGATAACTGCCAATGAGAACAACTTTCTCATCGAATTTGTGTGGATTCCGTCCCATTTTGGAATTAGGTATCAAGACCGTGTTGATAGACTAGCCAATGAGGCAAGTAAGAAAGAAAATGTTGACCGTGACCTTGGCCTGTCCAATGCTGTACTTAACAAAATTCAAGTCAGGATCATGAACTCTGATCTAGAAGAACTGAGAAATGCAGAGAGACCTGGCAGTTGTAGCATAAGTAATATGACAAATTTTGTGACAAGAGGTACCGGTATGGGCAGCATAAGGACAGAACAAGACAATGTGATGTAGTCGTGGCCAGAAATAGGCTAGGATACAGACGTATCTGACAAGTTAGTAACGCTGCACCAATACCGGGACACTCAGCATGTAAACTTGGTGAAAAACCTTTAAAGCATATACTTGAACACTATATTATTGAATGTGACACTGTCAAAGACTTCTGGCCACCTGGCTTATTGTATCATGAACTTTGTAATTGCTACTTTGAATCGGGGGTGCTTGAGGAAATTCTTGCTGTTTATCCTAGATTTGATAGCCCACACTAATTAGTCTTCAATTAGAATATGACGTTCAATGTGTATGAACCAATGTCTTGCATGGCAGCGAACAGTGACATCACCCACATGAATCTGACTTATATATACTGTTAATGAATATGATGTATTTCTTTGTGTATGAACCTCTGTCCTGCGTGGCAGTGTGAAGTGATACCACCCTCAGTGTCAAGACCTGACTGAATTACTCAGAATAAGCAAACTGTACGCCAAGCTTTGTCAATAAATTTGTTAAACTAAACTATCACAGTTAAAAGTGCTTAAACATTATTAAACAGTGTATCTAAAAAACTAAAAATTTAAACAACACCCAGCAGTCACGCTGACAACTTTGAAATACAACTTTTACAGATGCAGTAATGAAAACTGTTGGCTGGAAATAAGAGCTGCATCAAACGGACTTATATGTCTCCTGCAATAACCTTTATCATTATGCGCTTATTACATGAAGTCGATTCAGGTTAATATTCGCATGAGCTGTCTGTGTGTGCTCTGTATTTGTAGGACTCCATGTTGTTACTTTGCCTCAAGATGTAATACACGATATATTTAATATTATCTTTAATGTCTCTCCTGGGGTATATCAGCATATACCTAGATCACGCGCACCTACAGTGATTTACTTGCATATATATATATATATATATATATATATATATATATATATATATATATATATATATATATATATATATATATATATATATATATATATATATATATATATATATATATATTGATGGGAACTTGGTAGTCAGCTCGTTCAAGGAACGAATTATTCATTATCTTTATTATCTTTTACCTTACATGTGTTATGTTATGTTTGTATTTTGTTTGTTCGTGATACGTATTGTTGTACGTTATATAGTATATTTTTGTATTGTAAATTATGTATCATGTATTAATGTTTACATCCTTGTAGTGAGTAATAAACAACTTGGCAACTGTGTGAGGTTAGTTGGTAGGTCTACCAGTGGCTGTGACTGACAAGTGACTCACTTCCCTTGCTTCTTGACGGGATGTTGGTCTGATCGGCTCTGCCATGCGCTGTGTACACGTAAGCGGTGTCTCTGAGGGGTTTGTGAGTGACCTACTGAGTGGTCACCTCACAGCTAAGCTTTCTTTGTGTATATGGATTAAGATTATAATTATAATGTACTGTATATTGTGATAGGTAACACTTATTCCATGCGCTAACTGTAAGACTAGAGGTTCTTGTCTTTTTGCCCCTGGTGTTGTTTCTCAGTTGTAGTTGATGTACTTTCATTTTAACCTTCCTGTGTATATAGTGTAAATATGTTTAATACTTAATATATTATAGCAGTTTCTAGTGTATTATGAATATTCGCATTCCCCGTTTATCTTCCCTTGTGTTTTCATGTTGTGGAACATTATAATAACCCCTAGACAAGTATGTCCCATAACATATGGAGGCCTGTCCTTTCACTTTACTAGTGATACCAAAGCTTTTATCCAACCACTCCTTTTATTTATGTTATGAATTTTATTTATTACTTTGAGTATATAAGTTCAATTCGGAATTTAGATTTGCTGAGTTTTTTGAGGAACCATCACTGGAAAAGTTACAGACGAGTGAGCTGCAACAAAAATTATTGGGTGTCTATTGCAGCGTACTTAATATTGGAAGAACAAATACTGTCAATGTATACAGCCTTAACAACATCAACCTAGAAAAGTCGACTTGTGAAAGAGACTTAGAGGTACTTGTAAGTCCGGACCTACGGCCTAGAAAACAGTGCGTTAATTTTCGAAATAAGGCAAACAGAGTATTGGGTTTTATATCTAGAAGTGTAAGTATTAAGAGTGCAGAGGTCTTATTGCAACTATATCTTGCGCTAGTCAGGCAGCACCTCGATTATGCGGTTCAGTTCTGGTGCCCTTATTATAGAATGGATATCAATTCACTAGAGTCGGTGCAGCGAAGAATGACGAAAATGATTCCGGGACTTAGAAACCTTCCATAT